AGAGAGAGGGGTCTTAATAGCAGCCTTCAACTACCTGAAGGGGGGTTCAAAAGAGGATGAAGCTAGATTGTTCTTAGTGGTGACAGATGACAGAACAAGGAGCAACGGTCTCAAGTTGCAGCAAGGGAAGTTTAGGTTTGATATTAGGAAGAATTTTCTCACTAGGAGGGTAGTAAAACACTGGAACAGGTTACCCAGAGAGGTTGTGCAGTCTCTATCCTTGGAGGTTTTTAAGACTGGGCTAGGCAAAGTTTTGACTGGGATGATTTGGCTGGGGATGTTCCTGCTTTGAGCAGGGGGTTGGACTAGATGACCTCCAGAGGTCCCTTCCAACCCTACTTTTCTATCATTCTATAAGAATTGCTCTATTATTTTTTATAGTAAAAAAACAGGTGAAAAATAAGAGCTGGAATCTTTCAAGGGGTGCTTTGAGAATCATTGCACTAACTTGTTAGGTGACCTTGAGCAAAACATCATAGGTTAAGTCTAGTAAAAGACATAAGCTGGAGCGTGGGGGTTTTGTTCTCACAGCCAAAGTGCATGTGTGTACCCTTAAGCCTTTTTTCCTGATTTGTCTTTTCCAAATCCACTTACAGTATTTAGCTGCTGTCTGATTGGGAAAGTACTGTAAACTTTTCAGGAGATATTTCTTATATCACTTCCATGATAGGCAAGTTTTAGAGCCATGTTTAGTTATCATTGCACTTTGGAACAAACCCTTTATACCTATGTATCTTCAAAATTGTTGTAGTATATTATTTTTCTTTTCTTAAAGGAAAAGATATAAAATTTTGAAAGTGAGGCCAGATCCTGTAAGATGTTATATGTTTCCAGAGCAATTTTAAACAAACTGAAATACAGCAAAAGCTGTGTTAACCAACACTTTATTAGCCGGAAAACTATTAACTGGCATCTGAGGGACATGGCAAAAGCGAAACCGGAAGTACCACTTCTAGGTTTTGCCACCACTGTGAGCAGAGTTCTTGCCACTTCTTCAGCCCATAGCCCACGGCAAAGCAGCCTGCGTGGGGCCTCCTTCCCTGTCCTCCAGCACCCTGACACTGGGGAGTACACCAGATGGTGCACATTTGATTAACCAGAATATTTGATTAACCGGCATCCCCTATTCCCAGGGGATGCCGGAAAACAGAGCTTTTACTATAGATGCAATGCACTTCTCAGTTTTATCACAGACTATACTGTTACATAGGTCATGTTTCTGTAAGTAAGTAAACAGTTTTGGAGTTAGGAAATATAACATAGGGCAGTGGTCATGAACCAGTCACTCTTGATTGACTGATCAATCGTGGAGTCTCTGACAGCCGATTACAGTCTGTCAGAGGCTCCATGATCAGGAGTGGCAGGACGCACTGGGCTGGGTGGGATGAGTGGGGTCAGAGCCTGGGTAGCTCGTCCAAGGGGCAGGTGGTGGGCGGGGTTGCGGAGGGTGGTAAAGAGTGGGCTGGGGGCCAGGAATGGTGCTGGGTGCGGGACAGGGTGGAGGGGCTGGAATGCCAAAAAGTTACCTTCACCATAAAAAAGTTGGAGACCACTGACACAGGGTAACACACAATATCTTTGAAATCTGGCCAACACTACCATGAACTTCAAGGGAGCCAGGATTTCATTCTTTCTTTACCAATTGGATTTAGGACTGATTCTAGGCTTTCAAATTTGAGTAACTACTACTACTAATACCAAAGGACTTCTTAAAAGTTACATCAATAAGTGCGGGAGGCCTGACTGACATGATCTACAGGATAGAAGATATGGTGTATCTCTGATGGCATCTGCACACTACAGATCATAGATATCTCCAGGAAGCATTTGATAATTATTGGCACAATAGGCTATGCACTAGGCTCAAGATTTGGCCATTACATTTAAAAAAAGACAGAAAAGGAAACCTGTATTCTTGCTTTTTGAAAAAAAACCCAAAACCGGTTGAATGGTTGCCAGGGCACATGATAATATACATAGGGCTTGATCCAGTGACCAAGTTAGTCAGTGTTCCCATTAACTAAAATGGAAGTTGAAAATCAGGTTATTTGTTGGATCAGACCCACTCTTAAAATTGGACCATCATTTCCATTTTAAATGGGTTGTTTTCAATTGTTTATAGTTTGTTATCTGTCTTCCTTTTTGGCTAAAATTTTAATTTGAGAACAAATGCTTTCTGGAAAGTTTGAGTCAAAAAGACTCTCAGGAAAAAAGAAAAAAGTATATCTTTGCCTGTATAGTATTTATATGTGAGGAAATGAAAGTTGAGGATACTTAGTACTTTGTAGAACTGGGGCAATTACTAGGGCTGTGCACAGCTTTGGCCCCTGATTCAGCCCGAATCAGGAGACCCTTTAATCTCTCCGAATCAAATCGGAACCCTCCAAATTTATTTGGAGAGATTCAGAAAGATTTGGCAATTCTGACATAGACACAGCTTTAAATGTTTTTTCCACATGCCTCTAGGTACCAGACCACTCATGAATGCTGCGATACTGGGGAACATGGAGTGTCCCATAGAAGCGTGAGGGGCTCCCCAGCATGGATGGCTGCAGACCTGGAAGTGGACAAGAAGCACTTCCAGGCCACTTCCGGGTCTGCTGGACAGCATGTGGCCCCCCCCCCCTTCCTAGCTCAGCAACTGGGTCTGGGGGGGGCACCCAGGGTCCCCCCGTGGCTGATTGCTGATCTGGGGGAGGTGTGAGGGGGTCCCCCAGTGTGCTCCCTGGCAGACCTGGAAGTGGATCTTCCAGTCCACTTCTGGGTTTGCTGCCGAGCATGCGGGGCTTCCTCTCATGCTTCTGTGGGACACTCCATACATCCCAGCCTCACAACATTCACGAGCTACTTGGTACCTCAAGGTATGTAGAAAAAACATTTGAAGCTGTGTCTATATCAGAATCGCTGATTCTTTGAATCAGCATCGAATCTTCAGATTTGGATTTGCCTGAATTGAATCAACTAATCAACTAATTAAATCAACTAATTGAATCACTGTCCCCGATTCTGTATCCGAATTGAATAGGGCCCATTTTCCACACCCCCAGCAATTACCCTGGATAATGAGTTTTACTCAGATGTAATGATGTAATATTTATGCAGAGCTTTAACTGATGCCAAAGGCAGTTCAATGAGCAGAGTGGCTGTAAATCAGCCAGAATGGTCTTGAAATAATGTTTAAAAGAAGAAGAAAATGTGATGGACTAGAACCTTCCTCAGATGCTTCAAGAGAAGTAGAGATAGGCTAGTGTCAAACCGTTTTGAAAATCTATCCTGATGCATTTAAATCTGTAAAATGTTTGAAATTTCTACTGTCGCAGTCTCTAAATTATAACATTTGAACAAAAGACAAGCAAAGCTTCTTGTTAATCATGCTGACATCACAATGACAAAGCCAATCATGAGAACCATTTATGCCCAGATACTGCAACTTTTTTGCTACTTGGCTGGAGAGAGCCAACAGCTTGTTAACATAAGGGATTCTGTGTTCTTTATAAAGATGACATGCAGTAGAAGCAGCGTCACCCACAGGGGCAAATATGAACTGTTTCTTTTCCCAAAACATTCCATTTCTTTTAACAAAATCCCCTTACTCAAAATGCAATATGATATGAAAACATAAAGTGGTAAATTATACATAATGATTCTACTAAGTCCAGCTGATCAAAATATTTTCTGATACCTTATGCTACTGAAAATTACTTTAATATTTGAAGTCGCTGACATGCTCAGCAAACATTCAAGAAGGAAATTACCAAAATTATTTCTCTTGTATATATCTGAAGGTTAGTTGGGGTTTTTTTTGCAATAAGCCATGTTTCATATAGGGATACTAAGATGCCAACATTCCATAGGCTAAATTCAGACCCCTTGTAAATGGAGTATAACATCAAATTTATTTCACTGTGACTTTCAGTTGCTTAACTTGCTTTGTTTATGATTTAACAGACATATGGTTGTGCTCTAAGCTATTGGGCCTTGTGCAGGGAAGTAAGCATGAAATGTGGACAACGGTATAGAATCATATTCCCTGGTGGTTCCTGGACCACCAACATAGCCACTTTGTTACTAATGAAGCACATGAGCCACATGCAAATCTCTTTAGTCAGGCTATCCACTATTACATATATTAGGGAAAGAATTAGCAGCCATATTCTAAAAATATTTATTTGCTGTGTATGTTATAGTTCCTAACTTTTAAGTACCCTACTGCCTAATGGAAATCAAAATCCAATATTAGGTACCTGAGTTCCAGTATAATACAGACAGATTCAGGCTCCTAGGGTGAAATTCATAGAACCCAACATGTTTTGTTACTGTTGATATCTTCATCCTCAGTTATTATTTGTATTACCATTTGACTAGCACTCCTGGGTAATCGACCAGGACACTACTACAGTCTATTTTTATTTTTATTGATCAAACTAAGCGTGGCAGCAAAGTAATTAGATAAGAAATTCAATAGCTTGAAGGCTCTCATTACATCTGACAGAGAGGCAATTTTGCCAAACTGCAGTACCTTTAGCTGGAATATTTAGCTGTATCTCTTACCATTAGCATTGGGTGAGGGGATGGAGAAAGAGGAGAGAGAAGAAGAATGAACAAAGGACATTTTTAACAAAACTTTCCAACGTCAGCACTAATAGGAATACAACTACTTTGGGGCTTCACTCCCACATACGATGCTTGCTATCTTAGCTGAAATACAAGGGGACTGAATCTAGAACGTCCAGAGCTAGGAGCATGAGCTGTTATGGCTTGAGAGAGAGCGAGCCAAATCCCTATGGCTGAAGCTGTAACATACTCTGTGGGTTGGACACAGATGAAGACTTGTAACTAATTAGTGGGTTACACTTAAATCAGTGAAGAATTTGCCCTTGACTGGTCATCTTAGATCTACAAGTTTTTTTGTGGTGGGACATAGTGACTTTACCAGTTTCATACAAAACCCAAAGAAATTAAGACATGAAAAAACAAATTGTCTTATAAAACACGCCTACCAATAGAGCAGCACAAATAGGACCGTGGATGATGTACAGCAGATGTGTTTCAGAACTGATCCAGCAGCTGCAGTGAAAAAACAACCATTTAGCATTCCGTTATTACCCTTTTCTCTTTTAAAGACAATGTTATTTCTTTATAAAATGGAAGCTGAAATTTGACTTACTTGTCATTGTAATATAAACTTCTAGCTACCGCATGAATGCAGGCAGGGATCAATGGGAATCCTGAAAACAGCAAGTAATGTGATTATTTATAAATCTGACCAAAGATGAATTCTTATTTCATTATAAGGTAAGGTAAAATGTCACTGAATAATACTGAAGCATAATGAACATATTTAATAAACCTCATTACATCCTGCAGGCCTTAATCAGTCACATAATACCATTGCTTTCAGTTACATTCTGATTTAAAACAGAATTTTTCCAGAAGAAGGCCTGATGCATCAAACTTCTGTGGTATTACAAAAAAAAGAAAAGAAAAGAAAAGAAACCGTGGGTAAATAGTGCAGCCAGTAAAGCCCTGTTCCAGCAAAGCATTTAAGCATGCAAGTAGTTCCACTAACTTCGATGAAAGCACTTTTGAGCTAAACTACATGTTTTGAGATTTACTGGATCTGGCTACAAGTGGAAAGACGTAAATAAAAGATTTCAGTTCAGACAAGGGAAGTTAATGTAACAACCAGTTTCAGTTCTACGTTCCCATTTTCTCATTTAGGCTAAGTACAGACAGTCAAAAAGCCTGAGGTGGAATTGATCCAATCTATGCAGGTTTCTCTAAGCGGTGTAGATTGGATTGTTAGTGACCCGAACTCATGTTCACTTTTCAGCTGGAGCAGGCAGTCAGATGCCTGCACTAGCTGAGGCCAGAAGACAGGGGGTTCTCCCACATTCCTCTGACTATGCCAGACATTACCAAGGACACCTGAGCACATCTATAGCAGGGCTCTCCAACTTCTAAGTGGCTGGCAGCTGTATACTCTTCAGGTATCCTCCCACAGTGCACTGTGCAAGCAGGAACCCCTCTGCTGGGAGTGGTGGCTGGGCTGGAGCCCAGGAGCTGCAAATTAACCCCTTAGGTCAGCAGTTAGACAGACCTGCTCTATCGCACCATACACTAAACCATCACTTGATTTATCTCCATGTCACTCCTGGCATAGGAAGTGTAGCCTAATATATTGTTTTAGCAAGAAATTCATACCAAGATATATGAAGAAGCGTTAGTTCAAATCATAAGCAAAAAGATATTCTGAGTATTGCTCTTAAGAACGCTGGCATTTTCTGGATTTCAAGCTGTTTTTTATGCTTAAAAGGAAACTTCACAGTCTTGACATAAACAATAGCTTGTCTAGTATTCAATTAACTTGTGTTCTACAGCACATGCAAGTCACATACATATCTAAAAAGAGATTTAGAGAAGTTATACTGAAATAATATTGAACCACTGAAGCTACATTTTCGAGTAACAACTGATGATGGGTGCTCAACCTTAGATCTGATTTTGAGAAAATGCTGGTCACCCAGGGCCTTTGTACACACAACAAAATTGGCCTTTAAAGTGGCTTAATTGCCCTTTTGCACCACTTTAATGGCATTGATATTTACACGTTCGATGGTGTATTCCCCTTTAAATGACTTTGTTATGTAGCAAGGTAAAACCCATCTGTGGTGTTTGCTACATAACAAAGTGCAATGCAGGGTACATGCTTGGGGAAGCTTGGACTTGGAAGGCTTCCAGCACCCTGTGAATCATCCCTGCCACCTTCTCCCATCAGTAGGACACTCAGCCACCCTCCTGCCACCTTGCCATTCCGCCCCAGGGGCAAGCCAGCTGTTCCCGGGTGGTCCGAAGCAGTAGGAAGGTGGTGCGGATGGTGCACGGGATGCTGGAGCTTACCGTGGTCAGGGAGACGGGTGAGCTGCTGGTGGGCCAAGTGGTCCCTGAGCTGTGGGGGACCCCAGTGCTTCCCTCCATGGTGGCAGTGCCCCCCAGGTGGCACTCGCCTGCTGGCACCCAGCCCGGGCAGTCTTAGAGGGTGCCGCCACCATAGACGGAAGCACCGGGTCTTGTGCAACTCAGGAGCTGTGTGACCCAGCAGCAGCTCATGCGGGCAGGCTCAACTGAAGAAAACAAAAAAAAACAAAAGCAAGCAGCAAGGAGCCTAATCTTTATTTTTCTTCTTTTTTGTCCTGGAGCCTGCCTGCCTGCCTGAGCTGTGCAGGGCCTGGTACTTCCCTCCACGGCTGCGGCACCCCCCAGGCAGCTCCTGGGTGGGCTGCTAGTGGGCAGGAGCTGCCCAGGGTGCGCTGCAGTTGCAAAGGGAAGCACTGGGCCCTGTGCAGCTCAGGCAGGCAGATAGGCTCGGGGGGGGAGGGGAACAAGCTACACGTCCTTGCTAATTAGTAAAGAGTTAGGGGAGAAGCACTCTGAAGTGCTTTGGGTTAGGGTTCAAGGCAGA